GGGGGGGGGGGGACAAAAAACTCACATAGAGATATAGACACATCTTTAAAGATGAAGAGGGATCTTCATCTCAAGCCCCTCGCCAAGAAAAAGGAGAAAAGAAGCTTAGATCCTCAGTATTTATCAGTAATTGAATTATATCAAATGTATGGAGGTCAGCTTTGTTCAAGAACGGTGACCCTTTTTATCTATGTATTCATCGCTATCGTTTAATATTATTGAAATCATCATCTTTTTCTTACATTATGGGATTCAACCATTATTATAATCGAATTTTATGTTCAACTATGGTTGTGTATTTTTATCTTCTATGTCAGATCTAGGATAAATTATCTTTGGCTAGGATTTGCCTCAAATATTTATATTTAATTAGTTTAATAAAAAGGCTTAATGTTTTTTAGTCAAACAATAATATTTATCTGTTTAGTCGTGGAGCCAAAAATTCTAATATGGAAATTCAAAAATCACTAAACTAAAAGATTTTTTATATGAAAAAAATTCAATAAGTTATATATATGCATAAAAAAATTTAAACTTATATATATAATACAATTTTATAAGGAAAGGGATTCAATTATAACTCTTTCATTTTAATTAGCATATCACCACCATCATTGGTCTCTATCAATTGTAATTGGTAATCAAGTCATCATCACTTTTCAAAAGAGTGTTTGAGCTTCCATTAACTCCATTGAAGGGTTATTACAAATTGGATGATTGCCTTCATTCCACCATATTCTTTGGTGCTCCGAATAGTAAACTAATTATGGTCATACACAATATGCTAATTACCTTAACTATTATCCTCACTGTCAAAATTAAAGAAATTTTTTAAACATAGTAGTCAGGTGAAAATCTAACCATGGTTAGTAGGGAGAAGAATCAAAAAGTGGAGGGAATAAACAGAGTACGTCATCATGATTCAAAACAGGAAGATTCAATTTAGAGACATATATTGCAGATCCCCAATAAACAAACCCCCTCGAATTTTAAACTCTCACTATAACGGGATGAATTAATAGTGGGCACTGCATCGTCAACAGCGCCCACCCCCACCCCCCAAAACTCACCCCTCCTTAATTAGTATAAAAATCACAGTCTCCCATAGAGATAGAGAGACAGAAACGTACTCATATCGTCATATATCTCCCCATTTCACTTCCCGATAAATAAACAAGAACAAGAAAGAGACGTAGATAGAGTTGGTTTTTTTATCTGGTCTCTGCTACTGCTACTGCTCGTTTGGGAGTGAGTGTTAATAAACCAAGCTAAGAGAGGCAGAAAACTAAAGTATTCACTACTCATTTCATTTCTCTATCCTGATCAGTGACTATACTCCTCTTGAGACCGTATATACTTGCTGTCATTTTCAATATTCTGATATTTCCATTTTCCCATCAGAAATACTCAATTTGCTACCAAAAAGTGCTCAGAATGGGGAAAGAGTGGCTGTACTGGGGTACTAGTAGATCTACCAAGAATAAAGGAAGACGGTCAGAGAAAGGAGAAATCAATGAACAAGTTACTACTGCTGGTTGCATGTGTGCTGTTTTTCAAATATTTGATTTACCTCATTTTCATTTAGCAAATTTGAACCAGCAGCACCAATCTCATCCTTCTTTAACTAAAGAAGACCAAGAACCTGTTCTCCTCAAAGGTAATTTTAACGTGAAGAAAAAATCATATTAACCACTTTTTCTAAGGATTTTGAGTAGTAATTTTTAACAACATGATAATGCAGGAATTGAAGCGCCAAGAAACAGCTTGGATTTAGACGAGGAAAGGCCTGTTCTTGTGGAAAATAAATCTGTTTCAACTTCATTAATAATTTCATCAGAAGAAAATTTGAACATTCCGGTGAGTCTAAATTGTAACCGTTACTTCCCATCTCGTGTTACCAATATTTTAATAATTAATCATCTCTTTTCCCAATGTTGAGTAGAGTGAGATATTAATTAGATTGTTGTTGTTGTTTGTAAAAGTGAGTAATGATGATAATAATGATAGTGTTGGAATTAACTTTACTTCTTATTGAAAATTAATTAATTTTTGTGCAATTAATCCAGGTTGGTATTCAAATTAGAACAAGCATTGACTCTAGATCACCTAGAGTATCAACGTCAACTTCAAGAGGAAAAACAGATGATTTTTCCTCTGAATATAGCAGCTGCTCTCCTGGGCCCAAAACACCAACACTTGTTGCTAGACTTATGGGCCTTGAAAATTACTCTCCTCTTTCCAATATTTCCACTATCAATAATACTCCAACTTCAACTTCACATTGTAAGTCACTCTTGGTCCAAAAGCAAGTTCAAGGCCTTAACATTACAGGTACGGGTGTCAAACGGGCGGGTTGTACTGATAAATAGGCGGGTTACGTTGGATATGTCATATTTTCATGAGCTAATTTTGTCACCCGTAATTACAGGTACTGTGTCACTGCCTGAGACACCAAGGGTATCTTCAGAGAGCAGGAGGTCAGATGTGGAATATCATCATAGGTTATCTCTTCAAATCAACAAAGAAAATATTGGTGAAGAATCTCAAGGTTCAGCTTATCAATACAATGGCAAGAAAATGGCTAGGAGAAGGAGAGATGATAAACTAAAGCAAGATGATGAGAATACAAGTCCAGGATATTATGCTAGACAAATTGTGAAGCAAGTAAAAGAGAGAGTCAGCAGGAAAGTTGGTCATGACATTACCAACACAGTTACAAGTAAAGACGATAATAATGTCGTCTTGATTAACAGCAATAACTACGCCTCAATTCCAAACAGTACTGTTGTGTTGCTTAGACCGACGAAAAAACCCAAGGCTCTAAACCATCTTGGAGATGATAATAGCCTAGTTAGTAAGCAATCAATTACTCCTTCTAGCTCACCAAGGTTAAGATTGTTGGAGACCAAGAACAAATTACCAGTCACAACTACATCAACTGGTAATAAAACCCAAACTTTACAGCACTCTCCTAGACTTTCATCTGCTGCTAAAATTATCACAAATCATAAATCTCAAGATTCTTTATGGGAGGAAATAAAACAGAAGCAGCAGCTGCATCAGAGAAGTAGCAAAAAAGGAAAAGGTGAGAGATATGAGAAGCCACCATTAAAAGATCCCATCTATAGAAAGAAGGAAGAACAATTCGTTCATTCTGCTGCCACAAATAAAGCAAACATCACGGACAACAAGTGCAAGAAAACTGCATTGTCAACCTTTTTTCCTCCGAAGAAAGAGCCTTCTTCTCCCCCCACTAAATTACTCATCAAAAAGGTATGAAAATAACCAGCATTTTAGTTTCTATTTTTTTTCCATATATTATTTTTAAGAGTTTCATATACTATTATTTTTGTATCACATCCCTTGATGTGGTCTTTCCTCAAATCTTGCGTGAACGTGTCGTGCACCGTACTGACCTTTTCTTTTTTAGTTTCATAAGTTCTATGTAAAATGTATTTAGACAATCATTTAAGGTAATTATAGGTAAATGTAACGATAATTTGATAAATAATAACTGATGACTTGCTATCACATATTAAAATACATGTAATAGTACAATTTTTTTACTCTATTAATGTGTATAATTTAAATCTAGCAGCACGTAACTGTTCACAATAAATGCGATTAATCAATAATATGAAAAATAAAGATAAATAAATTGTTACAAATTACAATAGGTCAAAATATATGTAGCGACAAGTGTTAAAATTCTGTAATACCATTAGGTGTATGTAAGTTAAATATCTGCTTTGAATTATGGCTGGATTATTTATCTTATGATATTTTGTGCAATAATATTTGTCTGTTGAATAAAACAGTCACAGGAATCAGATGCTTGTCCATTGAAAAGGAGCACACAATTATCTTGTAGTTCGAGCCATTCGTACAACACCACACTCCAAGAAAGCAACAAATGTACTAACGGTACTACTACTACTACTTCTAGTGTTGGACGAGAGGAATTTCAGTACATTGAAAGAATACTGAAACGTGCAGGAATTGACAAATGTACCCCAGTGTCCTTTGCCAAGTTGTACTCTCAATCTCACCCTCTTGATCCTTGTATTTTTCACCACTTAGAACTTTTTCACCCTTCCATTTTTACCGTACCAAGATCAAGTTTAAGCCAGAGGTGTAACAGAAAGCATATTTTTCAACTTGTTAACGAGCTCCTTGTTGAAATCTTGGAACCATATTACATCAAGTTGAACCCCATATGGCTAAAGAAAAGGCGATTACATCGTCAAATGAACGGGTTGGAGCTGATTAACACACTCTGCATGAGAATACAGAGTTTACCTTCAGCTAATTGCCAAGTTCTTGAAGATATTGATGCATTGATAGATAAGGATTTGCGAAAAAAAGAGCTCGGAATTAGAGGCCGTGTGTTTGAAGAAGAAGAAGAAGAAGGGGAAAGCATAGTATTAGAGATTGAACGTGATATATTTGAATCACTTGTGCATGAATCTGTGGCATGTTCGTATAGAATAATGAGGTAGCAGTTGAGTTAGAACAATTGAGTGATTGAAGTATACAAGTAGAAGTAACAATTTATATATTTTCGTTTTGCATCTCAATTTAAATTTTTTGTGCAAGTCTTTTCCCCCCCAAAGTGCAAGTCCATTTGCTTCAATCTTGCTTTACTTATGATTTATAGAATTGTCTTTCCGGATGGTAGTATCTTTCACTGCATCACATTTGCCAGAGCTAAATTTTGTTAATTCTCGTCAACAAAATACCTTGTAGTTGGAGACTGTAGCATGCTTCTAAACGAATTAGTACGCATAAGATTAACTACTGCATGTTGCTAATGTATAGATAGAATGTTTAAATTATCAAGTCACCTTTTAAAGCTAATTATAAGTAATTTTTTTAATAATAATTATAGTGTAAAGTTTATACTTATAACTTAATTAAAAAAAAAAAAAGGAGGGGAGAGAGCGGGCACTAGTGAACAGAAACAGGGTCTGACCGTGTTCAGGTGGGTCAATCACGTGATTAGATGCCATTCGTTTGGATACGGGTCCCACTATTGTCAAATGTTTGACGAAACTGGGCTACACGTGGGGCGTAAAGTGACACTAGATTTTGGCCAACTAATTGCGCTTTCGTATAGGCTCCTCACTTGGATTCTTGTCCACCTTTTTCTACATGATTATTTTACTTTCCTTATTTTTATATAATTTTTATATAATCATTACACCTTTCTAACATTGTCATTATCATTCCACTTTTTCTATTTAATTTTCCTATTATTTCATGTAGTATTCTCTGCCTTAGCTACGTAGGTGCACCTGTTCTGTAGTTTCCTTTCCACCTTGCACCACGGGGAAGCTAAAACCCAGCTACCGATTCGGTCGAAATTATAATTTTTGGTTAAGCAGTATATTTAAGTTAAGAGTGTTTACCTTAAAAATGATAATTACAATTAAATTTGATTTTGTGGTTCTAAAAATACGTAATTTATTTTAATGCTAATTGTTAAGATAGATGCTAAGTGTGAGTTAGGGGAATGAGATAAGAGCTTAAGGACAGTATGTTATGCAAACCGAATAGTTGTAAATCGGGGTCTCGGACTGGCTTAAGCTGGGCCTCGAGGTTGAGCTAATGAGCTTGATTGGAGATGATCGAGGAAGGACTAACAGTTCCAAGGGCCACAATGATGGTTCTTTGTGATCAATGATGAGTAATAAATGAGGAACAATCAATGAAACACAATAATGTAAGCAATAAATCAAAGGAAAAACAATGGAGAATATTTAAGTTAGAGAGTAGAGAATGTTCTTATTCTTGTATTGAATATCATGTGTCTTTACAAAATGACAAAGATCCTCTTTATATAGGAGGGGGAATCCCAACATAGTACATATGCATGTATTACAAAAATATGCAGCTGGTACAACTATTTAATGTCACGGTATTGTAGAGAAAGATATAACATAAGTAAGAAAGGGCAGTTTAGGAATTTCATATAGGTTAGGTTGTTAGTTACTAACCACCAATCCTAGAGTTAGTTAGCTCACTAATAACAGCTCTATCTAGTTAGTTACAATTAGATTAGTAATTTACAATTAGTAAGTATATATATATATATATATATATATATATATATATATATATATATATATATATATATATATATATATATACTAGCTATGTAAATGATCAGATGAATAAAATCATTTTCCCCTTCTCTTAGCTCATCTCATCTTCTCTCTGCTTCTTCCCTTTCTCTTATCTTCTCTACTTCATACTTTAGATTCAATCCAGAAACTATTTCATGGTATCAGAGCGGATCAAGCTAATTCAATGGCTTGAATCTCCATCCAACATCTAATTCCGCAAAATCAAAAGAAGTTCTAACTTCAGTTCCTGCTTAGAACAATTCTTGAAGAAAGCTTGATTGCTATGGCGACTAATGAACAACCAGCTGTTGTTCCCCCTGTAATTACGCCTGCAAATTCAAATCAAGGAGGGTCGCATGCAATTGATTACAATCATCCACTGTTTTTAAGCCCTTCAGATGTTAGTGGTATTCAAATTATATCTTTTCAACTAACTGGGATTGAAAACTATTCCCTATGGTTTCGATCTTTGAGAATGGCGCTATTAGGAAGGAATAAATTGTGTTTGGTGGATGGTACATGCACAAAAGAAATTTTTTCAGAAAATATATGGAATCATTGGGAAAGAGTAAATGCTATTGTGCTTTATTGGTTGATGAATTCTGTGAGTAATGGGTTACTTGGTGGTATAATGTATGCCTCAAGTGCAAAGGCTGTGTGGGATGATTTGCATGAAAGGTTTGATAAAGTGGATGGTTCAAGATCGTACAATTTACATAAAGAAATTGCTACACTTAGTCAAGGAACATTATCTGTTTCTGCTTATTTTTCAAAACTGAAAGATTTATGGGAGGAGTTTGAAGCACTGGTTCCTGCACCTGGGTGTGACTGTCCAAAATCAAGAGAGTTTGTTGTTCACTTGCAAAAATTGAAGCTGTTTCAATTCTTGATGGGGCTAAATGATTCCTACAGCTAGGCTAGAAGTCAAATCTTGCTCATGAGTCCAATGCCAATGGTTAATCAAGCATATGCCATGGTGATTAGTGATGAAAGCCAGAAATCAGTTGCAGCAAATGCTGGCTTACTAGGAGCAAATCCTACTTCTGGAACTAGTCAATTTGATATGGCAATGTATACTAAAACTGGGGGAAATTATGAGAAAACTAGAAAAAATTTCAATCTAAACTGTGATGTGTGCAAAATGAAAGGACATTCTAAAAAAAATTGCTATAAGGTTATAGGCTATCCTACAGAATATAGACCAAGAAAGAAGAACACAAATACACACAGTGCATATAATGTGCTATCTGATGTCAGTGTACAAGGTAATCAATTACCTAGAGGAAATTAGAATGAGAATTGTGTACAGAATTCTCAATTAACAAGCAGTACTGTGAGTGCCAATAATTCTCAGAATTTTGGTCAAATGGAAAATACACCTTGGATGGGAAATTGCACCTTCACAAAAGAGCAGTATGACCATATTGTTCAACTACTGAACAAAGACAATTCAAGTGTTGCAACACCATCAGCTAATGATGTTTCTACTGCAACAACACCATCAGCTAATGCTGCAGGTATTCCTTGTGCCTTATTAGCCTCTAATAGCCTACAAGAATGGATCATAGACACAGGGACTACAAATCATATGGTAGTTGATATCGAACTATTAAATAAAGTCTCTCTAATGCAAACAAATCAGTCAAAGAAAGTACATCTACCTAATGGAGAAACTACTCAAGTTACTCATATTGGAACTAGTACCTTAACAGATCAAGATATAATAACTAATGTATTTTACATCCCTCAATTCAAATATAACCTCTTGTATGTCTCTAAATTAACTAAGGAACTGAAATGCTCAGTTGCTTTCTTCCCTGATTTTTGTATATTTCAGGAACTTTTCAGTGGGAGGGTGAAAACGATTGGTAAAAAAGACAATGGTCTATACATTCTCAGTAGACAAAAATTACCAAGAAATAATGCAATTAGTTTAAACACTAAGGAGACAAAAATCAGTAAAGCGACTAATTCAAATGATATTGAACTTTGGCATAGAAGACTTGGACATGTATCTGCTACTGTTCTCAAGAAACTATTTTCTACAAATGCACAAGATATATCTGCTAAAATCTATCTATGTACTACATGTCCTTGTGCAAAGCAAACAAGGCAACCATTTCCTATCAGTAGTATAAAAACAGCTGCTAGCTTTGAATTAGTTGACATAGATGTATGGGGTCCTTACAAAATTCCTACTATGGATGGTAATATGATCTTTCTAACTGTAGTAGATGATTTCTCTAGAACGACATGGATTTTCTTGCTGAAATTGAAATCTGATGTATGTGTGATTGTACAATAATTCTTTACTTTTGTCAAAACTCAATTTGGAACTATAATTAAAACAGTGAGAACAGATAATGGTACAAAATTTGTTAACTCAATTTGTGAGAACTTCTTTAAGAATCTAGGAGTGATTCATCAAAAGACATGTCCTTATACTCCTCAACAAAATGGAGTAGCTGAGAGTAAGCATAGACATATACTAGAACTTACTAGAGGTATCAGATTTCAAGCTAATATACCTATCAAATTCTGGGGTTATTGTGTTCTTGCTGCAGTATATATCATTAATAGGCTGCCTAATTCTGTCATTGAAAATAAAAGTCCATACGAAAGGATGTATAATAAGAAACCTACATTACAACATCTTTATAGGCTTCAAAATTAGTTAATCAAAATGATAAGCTAATGCCTAGAGCAAAACCTGTTATACACATGGGATATGCTACAACCCAAAAGGGATATGTATTATATGATTTAGTTAATAAAAGTTTCTTTATAAGCAGAGATGTCCAGTTTAGAGAAGACATTTTCCCTTTTAGAAACAAATAAGAAAACAATAAATCTTTATTTGTCCATCAAAACATAACAGACTTACTATTACATAACACAGATCCAACAGCACAAACTACAACTTCAGAAAATAATATGTATTCAAATGAACAAGAAAATAATGTTTGTCAGAAGTGATACAAGAATACACATAATATTATGAAAATACTCCCAAAGAATTTACTCAAACTAACAATCAACAAACATTAGCTACACAACAAAGAGAACAAATCTCACAACCAATAAATGTCAGAAAATCAGGAAGAGGAAAGAAACCACCTATATGGATGAAAGATTTTGTGTCATTAACTACTCAATAGAATGAACCCTATGCCATATCAAAATTCATAACCTATGATCATATAACTCCTAAGTATCAAGCCTACTTGACAACAACTTCAAATATCAGTGAACCAACTCTATACTCTGAAGAAGGACCCTAAATGGATAGATGCAATGAAAGCAGAGATTGAGGCACTACAAAATAATCATACATGGGACATAGTAACTCTGCCCACTGGTAAAATTCCTATTGGGTGCAAGCGGATTTACAAGATTAAATATAAAGCTTCTGGTTAAATAGAAAGATTTAAAGCTAGATTAGTAGCCAAAGGTTTCAGTCAAAAGGAGGGGATAGATTATCAAGAAACTTTCT